TGCTGAATGTTTAGGTGATGCATGAGTAGGTGATGCATGAGTAGGTGTTGCATGTTTAGGTGATGCATGAGTAGGTGTTGGATGGAAAGGTGATGCATAAGTAGGTGTTGGATGGAAAGGTGATGCATGAGTAGGTGTTGGATAGAAAGGTGATGCATGAGTAGGTGTTGGATGGAAAGGTGATGCATGAGTAGGTGGTGGATGGAAAGGTGATGCATGAGTAGGTGGTGCATGGAAAGGTGGCGCATGAGTATGGGTTGAGTGGTGAGATGATCCATGGTGCGTGCACCTGTTGCAACGTACAGTGGCTACTTTGGACCTTCGATTTTCGTTGAACTTATGGCACGCGGCAGTACCGCCACAGCAGATCCAGCCGCGAGTCAAGTCGTGAGCGGCCTTGCGCAGGTCTTCTTCTTGTTTGTGCTTGAGGGCATTAGACTGGATCGTGGAATTCTTGCCTACATAATGGTCAGCAAGATGTAGCAATACATGCGTCGTTCTGTTGATCACGCACCTGGGCTCGAAGAGGGCTGCCGGCCACTTTTGGTTCCTGTTCTACTACTGGGGTTAGTTCCAACCATGTTGAGGTGATGATGGGTTCAAGTTACTGGCCGTCTCTAAGTTTCTAGGGATGTCATTTATAATCTGAAGTGGGCTCGTTTGCTACCAGAGCATATGATGTTGACTATTGAGATCATGTGCTGGAAGGCTGACATGGAATGACATATTCTCTGACTTGTCATTCTGCCTGTCTATTACCAGTTGTCGTGTTCGCGTGTCAAGATTCACATGAACAGTAGGCCTAAGTGTCGTTGCTATCGATGAAGTGCTGGTGCCGACACTCATACGTGATCAATCCTACTGGATGATTTCATATGATCGTCAGAGAGAAGGCTCGCTCTGCGTCGTGACAGTACCCGGAGGGAATCTTCATGAGTTGTGTGTTGAGATTGCTTTCATATCGAAAACGGTATAGCCTCTGCTACTGTAAATCTGCATCTCCAACAACGTCATACGTTTTTGATATGCTACCGTCGCATGGATCGTTTTACCCCAATAAACAGCGTGTGTGAACTACATAAGTTGCAGACGTTGCACGAATGGCCGTTTATATGTAAAACGATAGACCTGCAATGGCTTATCCTATTCTGCTAAATGCAACCATCGTTGCTTGTAGTTATCAGACCATCTGATACCTGAACAGTCGTCTAGCTACAAGTATACGAAGTAGACCATCAAGAGGTTTCGCACTCGTTGTATAGTGTGATGTTCCAATCTCGAAGTACGACTCGAGCGCGTGAGTTGGCTAGCTGCTCATGTTCCGTAGCCGCCGTGAAACATTACATGTGAGCATAGCCCCGTAGCACAGCATGACCGTCCTGATCGACAGAACGCTGCCTACTTATTGACTGCTGCGCACAATCTATACAGCTTACTCCGACTCTTCACTGAAGATACCTGTTAGCACTACCCATACTCGAAATGTCCGGTGAAAAGATGAAGGACCCAGAGAAGAAAGCAGCTTCTTCTGCCGCGTGGCGCAATCATCCAATTGGCTACCCCAGGCTATCGGAACGTATGGGCCTTAAGCCAGAGACTCTCATCTTTCGGAAGTTTGTTGCGCTCAACGCGCGCATGCTCTTGTACATGCAAGCAGAGCTCGCTATTCTCGAAAGTAATCTCCAAGACACAGAAAGAAAGGATAGAGCGAATGCGAAAGGCAACAAACATCGGTACGCGACAAGCTACCTGAAACTGTTACAGAGCCCGAAAGATGGGGATTCATACCAGCTCGAGCTGCTCGCCAACATATCCACCAAATTGGAGAAGTATAGTGAGTTCATCATCCGATAGAGACCCTGATATATATACGCCTTGAAAAGCTGACGGTCCTGGAGATCAGGCGTTGTTGCAGCAGCACAGACTGTTTCAGATACCCGAACCAGACCGATTCGACCTGAACGATATCTACCGCCTACTACAAAGTGAGGACATGGAGAGTGGAGAGCTGGGGGGTCTCGACGCTTTATTCTGGGGTCATCCTGACGATCCCGAGAACTATGCACCCGATCTTGTCGGTGTCTGTCCCCGCGAGCCTGCCGATCCGTTCTCTCGTTGGGTGTCAGAGAATGCCATTCTTCTCTTTAAGTGCGGTCTCGGACGATTGAAGAAGACCGACAAGTATCACGGACGCCGGGTCTATTATGATACAACAGTACTGAGGGTCACGTCGTGGATAACGTGCATACTAGCATCGCTGCTGCCAATTGCGTCAATCCTGATACTGTTACATCTGGACACTTTGAGTGTGAAGTTATGGGTGATCGGCGCTTTCAACGTATTGCTGAGTGTCTGCTTGAGGACACTGACTGAGGCCAAACGCGCTGAGGTGTTCGCTGTGACTGCCGCGTAAGTGTTGAACTGTTGTTGATGACACGGGCTGACAGACTCAGATTTGCTGCCGTACAGGTGGTCTTTGTCGCAACCGATCGCAACACATCTGCCAGCTAGCCGTGTTTGAAGCAAACATGGCGTCAACATCGATCTGGGTCTACAGGAGTACTGTAGGTGGATAGCCGAAGGCGATGCCCGTGATCCGAGACGGAAAATTGCTACTAAGGTTCTCAAACTACTACGTGGGCAGATTCCGCATCAGTAGACATTCCTTTATTAGTCTGTAAGCTCTAGTTACTCGTATATCATCATTCGCATTGCTTGATAGCGCGATGTATGCGACAGGTCGAACTCGTTTCCGGAGTAGACGATGAACCATCAGGAAGGTTAATGCGACAGCTGCTCTAGGACAAGCACGATCGAAACTTGCTGTGGAGCTCCCGGAGCCTCACAAGTCAATCGAATCATAATCGTGTCTGGGAAAATTCCGGGTATGCTGATGTGTGGTCTCCGTGGATGCAGGCAATGAGGCAGTGACTGATGAAAGGCATTTCAGTCGATTGCGAGCAAAGCATCTCCACATCCGGTGCTTCCACGCCAAGGCGCTAGTGACGCTAAGCCCCCGCGTCTTCCATCTCATCTCGCGCGAACGCCAACCGCGTCCTTGTCCTCAATCTAGGATCATTGCACGGCACATACGCAAGCGTTTTTGTACCTGAACACAGCTGGGCTCGGTTGCACAAGGACTCGGAACGAAAACATGTCACACCCCGTTCGTGTCTCGACCCAATGCTGACTATCTCGCTTACATGCCACACTCACCACGACGCGATGCACTAGAGCTGTCATTTTATAGTCGCGCCGATGACATGCACCCCAGATGAGCGTTTTGGAATCCATCCACATGGCTAAGAGCCTCAAGACCGACCCAAGACCAACCCCGCAATCTGGCCAACCCGCCGTTGCACGCCCAGACAAGCTGAGCACTGACGTTCTCGGTGTCATTACTGGATGACTGATCTGCACTCATGCCTCACCACGAGCATCATTGGACAGCCCCAGGTTTGGCATCTCGGCATGACAGCGGTGTCGCAAAGCTGGCGACGTTGGCACTTCGGGGGTAATATGGCGCAAGGAGCAGTATCCCATCGTGGAGGTTCCTCCTTGTCCAAGGCTTCTTCACTTCGTGCTCGGGTCTTCTGATGACTTGGTTGGATCTCATCAGACCCTGTTACTCGTCTACCCGCTCCGTTTGAGTCCATACTAGACGTGCCTAAGGATCAATAGGCTATCTCTCCGCTATGTGATCGATCAGATGGAACACACGGCATGCCCAGCCACGACGTCCCGAGCTCTTGGGAAGCCACGCCCTGGCTGGAGTCCGGAACTTGCCTCGGTCTCCATCTTCGTCATTCCTGTATAAGTGGATGAGTGATAAGATAAGTAATCCACAGCTGTTCTTGTCCCTGCGACGATCCTCTCCTATCCTCTTGTTCTTTTTCTACAGTGCAGACATCTCTGCATCTTCCGTTCATAATGAACAGCGACGACGAGTATAAGCAGGACACCGTTCACAAGGAAGCGATTAGTCCAACGGCTACGGACAACAATGTCACCGACTATGCTTACGATCAAGTTGAGGAGAAGAGGCTGATCCGCAAGGTCGATTGGAGGCTGCTTCCTATCTTGGGTGCCCTGTATTCCATTGCGCTCATAGATCGCACAAATGTTAGTTCAGATACATCCCTTTTGCGTCTAGGATAAACGCTCACAAGTGACAGATCTCCAATGCTCGAGTTGCTGGAATGGGTCCGGATCTCAACCTACAGATCGGAGATCGATACACTATCGTCTTGGTTCTATTCTTTCCAACGTACTTCCTGCTTGAACTTCCATCCAATATCGTCCTTCGCAAAATTGGCAGCGCCAATTGGCTAGCTTTCATCGCCGTATCATGGGGTGCTGTTATGATCGGTCAGGGCTTCGTCGAAAGCTGGATCTCACTTGCCATATGCCGCGTTTTACTTGGAGCGTTCGAAGCCGGGTTCTTCCCCGGATGTGTATACCTCATTACCTGCTGGTACCGCCGCTATGAAACACAGAAAAGGTATGTGACTTTCATCAAATCAAATGCATGGTAGCAATGGCTTACGGCGTACAGACTAGGTGGCTTCTACCTCTTTTCCGTCGGCATTGGTGGCCTCGCAAACATCCTTGCATATGGTCTCATGCAGATGGAAGGTGTTGGCGGTCTCCGCGGCTGGAGATGGATCTTCATCATAGGTAAGACTGCACCACCACCCATGTGTATCTGGATCACCTCTTCACGTTGGGCATCACATCGATTCAAGGTTCAAGTCATACTAACATTCAATATAGAGGGCATCCTGACCTGTGTTGTCGCGATCGCGGCCTGGTTCATCATTCTGGACTTTCCCGACAAAGCTGAGAGGAAAGGTTTCCTCACTTCCGCGGAAGCTGCTGTCATCATGCAGCGTATCGAAGACGACCGAGGCGACTCGATAGCGGATCCTTTAACCTGGGCCAAGTTCTGTTACCACTTGAAAGACCTCAAGCTATGGGCGTACGCCACGTTGTTCATGTCGACTACTATGCCAGCCTATGCTTTCAGTTATTTCCTCCCGGTCATCCTTCTCGGCATGGGCTATTCTCCTGGTCAGGCGAACGCTCTATCCGCACCACCTAGTCTGTTTGCGATGTTCACAGCCTTCGGTTTCGCATGGCTAGGAGACAAATACCGCCTTCGTGCTCCTGTCATCGCTGCACAATCGATCCTCGCCATCATCGGTCTCATGATCGTAGCATATGCTAGAAACAACGGGGCAAGGTACTTTGGCTCATTCCTCGGAGTATGCGGCTGCCAGGGTAACGTCCCGGCAATTCTCGCGTACCAAAGCAACAACATCCGTGGCCAAAGTAAGCGGTCTGTCGGAAGCGCTCTCCAGATCGGTTTCGGTGCAATCGGCGGTATTCTTGCGTCAACGACTTTCGTTCAAGAAGAAGCTCCAACATACATTACGGGTCTCTGGGTAACGACTGGTCTTCAAATCTACATCCTGCTAGTGTTGTGCTGCACTACGACATACTTCTTGAGGAAGAACAAGATAGTAGACCGGCAGAGGGCTAATGGAGAGCCGATGGATGAGAACGAAGGCCAAGCTGGGTTCAGGTATACCATATAAGCAACGGGAGAGGATGGAGGCTTGGGGGAACGTTCTCTGCGCAATGCGTCTTGTGGTCGACGTCCTCTACGGTTCGTCCCAGTAATGTCAATGCAATGCTAGTTCTTGATGAAGCCTTCACGAAAATACAAAATCCAAGTTTCGGTCCTTGCTCGCAAGGGCAATAATCCTGAAAAGACGGTGGGATGAAAATAGAACCTTACCGTATGCGGAATAGCGCGACACGGTGATGACGTTTACCGCCGGACCCCTTCGCGTCGCAGGTGATGCCCATCCATCTGTTTCAGACCAAGATAGCAACGCCTCAGTCAGCGACGCAACATGCGTCAGCTACTGCTAGTCGCCCTACAGCCTCGTCATTCGCACATTTTCTCTTTACTTTTTTGACTTCCAAGACTTCGATACCCAACTTTGTATAGCTCCTAGTAATTGTAGTCGCTAATCGTTACGTTCACCATCATTCGCAGCCGGTCTCGAAAACACCACGAATCTTCTATCTTTAGCCTTACTAGACGGGAAACCGAGGATTCCATTACCAAGAGCCTGATCTCCTACGCGTCCACGAAATCGCGCCTTCACGATGAGCGCAAAACACAACCTCCACGTCGCGCATCATCTCCCAAGCCACATCTCCCCCGCCTCGGTCGTCGCCGCGCTGCATGACCACGACACGACCCTCACACTCCAAGCCCTTAGCTGTGGCTACGAGACAGCCCCCAACACCGCCGAAGCGACCCTCAAAGATACATACTGGTATCCGCCCGACCAATACCCCGTCGCAACATACCACGTCAGCGAGTGTATAACCTGGTTTCCGGGCATCGGGCAGTACGGGAAGAAATACATTACCTTCCCGGTTTGTTACCAGAACACGAGGCAGGGCATAAAGACGCGCGCGGATGCGGCGGCGGGCGTGATACTCAGGGCCGAATACAGGGTAGTTGCAAACGGCGAACTGGGCAGCGAGGTTGAGGGCGAGGGCATGGGCGTCGGAGACGCGCAGTTCGTGCTCGTAGAAGACGTAGAAGTCACCTGCGCATGGTGGCTTATGCCCTTCGTGAAGGGCAAGATGGAAGAAGGACACCGGGACCTTTGTAGGATGGTCATTGAAAAGGTAGAGAAGATGGTAAGCGAGGGGTGGGAAGGCCATGATCCTGTAGCATTTGGTCTACGTGGTGTGGCGAGCCGACATGACAGCAGGATAGAGGGTATGGAGGATGTGAATACAGGGTTTGCGCAGGAAACGAGGGAACACTATGCGAAGCCACAACCCGTGGTGTTTGGGCAGACACATCAAGATGTACCACGATATGCGGATGCGGATGCGATGGAGGAGCAGCGGCCGCACATACCTGCCGGGCCATTACCGGAGAAGGTTACCTACGGATAACTTTTGCTCGCAGGCTACAGCTCGTGGGGTAGCAATGAACGCACGTAGAAACGGTAGACCACTCCACCAAGAGTGAAAGTACGGTACGACCCTGTGGTTCGACAGAGGGCAATAGTAATGACGGGAAGCGAAAGGCAATCAACGCGTGATTGCATCACACAACCTGTAACTAATGAAACCACATGGACTTCTCCCGACCCTCCCATCACCAACTTCACAAAGAGATGACGCTCTCGACTTCTCAACTACTCTTACGCCTCGCACTCGCGCTTCTTCTGCCCCTCTGGGCTCGTTCGACGACCCAGGATGAGGTGTGGGCAGTCTTTCTCATGACGACCCTGCTTGCGATATTGGCGTATCAAACACGCTTTGCTATCGACTTTGGTCTCGCTAAAGATACCATGATAGCGGTGTACGGAACATTCATCGCGAGCTATGTTGCCGACTACTACTTTGTCGGTCCATGGACGCGATTAGCCATGGCGTATGTTTTCTCCTGGGATGCGCTGCAGTACATCTCACCTTTCACCGAGCATTATGTAAGATAGATCTCTTCCCCGCCATAACGTCGATATCTAATGAGAACACAGATTCGTGTCCGAGAAGCACACCAGAAGCCTTTACGATCATCGCCAATCCTGAGCCTGCCCCTGGTCATGGCTACTATATTGACGATATACCTCGGTGTGTGTGGCAACCTCAATACACAGGGCCCGAGATGGCGCGCCCTGGGTATCTGTCTCATGACGGTCTGCGCTACCGGTGATGCTCTTCAGCACTGTGCTATTGGCGTACGACATATGGTATCCTGTTATTATGTTGTACCGCACCTCGACATCGCGGATACACCCGGACCGGTCGAGCCGGAACTGGAACAAGACGATACTATTCTTTCGACTGAAGAGAAGAGTATCTCTGTCTTGGCCTCCATGTCTGAGGACGAGAAGTACAAGTACTGGGCAGAAGGGGCGCTTGTACCTCTGGGGTATTGCGATTGGGAACTACTGATGGCGCAGGTGATATCAGAGATACCGACGATGCAGGGTCGGCCAAGTACGAGGAGGAGAGGTTAGGGTTGGAAGAAAATATTTGGATGATATGGGAGTTCTGTTCAACGCTTACAGACCAAGAAAACAAATATTCATTGCAGGCAAACGATCTACAAGGGCATGATTTCTGGCTTCGGTCCCACAGGCACAATCTTCGCCTTCGTAGCGTTTGAGTAGCCATCCTTGTACTTGGAACACGTTAGCCATCTTGTGCCGAGTCTTTTACTTTGACTGTTCACTTACCGCTTGAAAGTCAACCGTCTTCTTGAACGCACCGAAGTTAGTCGTTTCGCTCTCGTCCCAGTACAGCCTGCGTACCCAGTCGTGCAGCCGCGGATACTCATAGCGAATCATCTTGAGGTTGCATTTGAAGATTGTGAAGTACGCAACATCGAATCTGATGATAGTAGTATACAGCCTGATGTCTGCTTCGGTGATGTGGTCGCCGAACAAGTATGGACCATGGCCTGGCTGACCAAGGTGTTCTTCCAGGCGATCGAGAGATTTGAACAAGGGGTATACGTGCTCTTCGTATGCCTCCTGTGACTGAGCAAACCCAGTCTTGTACACACCGTTGTTGATGGTATCGTAAACCCACTCACTCATGGCATCGATGTCCTTGCGTAAATGCTCCGGCAAGATGGCCTTGTCGCCTTTGCTGGATTCTCGGAGCTGCTCGGGAATGAACGCATCAAACTCGGTGTAGAACATACGGGTGATTTCGCTGGACTCGTTGTTCACAATTGTCTCTGTGAGCAAGTTAGCGCACACTATTCTCAAAATCGCAGTCACAAGACTCGCCTTTCTTCTTGTCCCAAAGCGTCGGGACGAGGTACCGCCCTTCGTATTCCGGGTTCGCCCTTTCGTACAGCTGCCTCAAGTTCGTATAGCCATACAACGGCTCTTGCTCGAACCCAGGCTTTCCAGACATGCCCCACCCTTTCTTGTCATGCACAAGCGATAGATCCCATACGATCAATTGGATAATGTCTTCGAGTCCTTTCAAGCTACGCACTAGGTTCGTGCGATGTGCCCAAGGGCAACCCATGTGAATGTAAAGCGCATATCGATCCTTTTCCGCTGGGAACTCTGAATTAGGATCAGAAGAGATGAAATTGCGAAACGCAGAGGGTTTGCGACGGAACTGGCCGTCTTTCTCAGCGAAACCGTTGGTGGCGGCCTTGGAGATGTTAGCAGACAGGGCTAGCCTAGTGCGAGCATGGCCACTATAATGACATCGCATTCGGATAGGCATTCTAGCTTACCGGTTCTGACATTTTCTGTACTTTAACTGTAGAGATGCTTGATGCGTCTCACGATCTGGTTATAGAAGACATCCGGTTGCCATCAACGATGACGTGAGCTGACGGCACGGGAATGACAGGCGGACTTTAGCCTGGCGGATGGTCCGCGACTTCTTTACATCCTTTTACCTTGCTCCCTAGTCATCATTCCCACACAACACACACGTCGCATAGTCTTTGGAGACAACATTCCTAAATGCGATGCCTTTTGTAGCCGAAGGAGCTCTCTGCATCGACCCCTGACGCCCGCAGTCCCTGGAATGGTAAGGGGTCACTAGGCAGCAGGCTACTTACCTTGGTAGCGTCGCCACTACTTGCAAGCCAGTCCGAGTGTCGTGCAGCGCGCTCTAGAATAAATACCATAGGTCTGCAAGCATTTCGGTACCTTTTGTTCAACTCCAAACAATTTTCCATTGACAGCGCTTGGCCGTCGTCAAAGCATCGCAAGATGGGCTCACCGCGGAATTCCCCCGTACCAGAAGCCTGCATCTCAAGCGCTCCAATGTCCGACTTACTATCCAACTCTCAGCCAGAGGACCACCAGATCTCAATAATAAGCACCCCGAGCGGACAGGATGAAAATATAGAACGGTGCACATTCCTCGACCTCCCAGCAGAAATTCGAAACCACATCTACGGCTACATCGTCGGCAAATTCGAGCGAAGAATCATAGATCATTGCGGGAAAGAACGATGCGTAACGACCGTCAAAGGCGTCTTTGCCCAGCTACCGAAAACAATTCGTGGTCTCCTCAATACCTGCAAGACGATATGGCTGGAGCTTCTCTCGCTACTATTCGGATCATATACTTGGACTGCTGATCTCCTGTTACGAACCTCCCCACCTGGGAAGATTCTCACACGTTCAAATGGGAGCTGGCTCCGAGAACCGAGTACACTCTTTCATCCAACGTCCAACAACATCCGCCGCGTCAATTTTCGAATCAAAGACACCGTTCCACATCCAGGGTCTTCGCCAAAGCTCCTTTTGCAATACACGATCTTGATACGTCTGAGCGAGCGCACCAGTGCTGATGCTTTCACTGCTCGGGCCTCGGGGTTCGTAACGGGCGTAGGTGGAGAGAACCGTTATAATTTTCAAGCAGACAAGGGTAAAGCCCTGGAGCAGGTATTGGAGCAGAGCATTAATAGCGCACTACAGGAGGTGGTCCAGACGAAACTGGAATCGAGGCAAAGTAGCAGTTGCTTCACTGTTGAGGAATGGCAGGGGCTTGTATTGAAGCTCAAAGAGGCGTACATGGCGTGGATTGACGAGGAGCAAAAATTAAACTGAAGTTCAGCTAAGGTGTCGCCATACAAGCAAGTAGAGGATTACAGAAATCATGTCGTTGTAACATAAGCAACCAGGAAGGTCTTGTCACGTTCAAACTTCACGATAGATAAGCTTCCAAAAAGCGGCTCATCTATTGCCTACCTTCAGGCTTAGCTCTCTAATGATATAGAACCTTCAAACGCATATCGCCTACCTCCAAGCTGTACTATAAGAAAGAATAAAAGAAGCAAAAATACAGTGTCTTAGTTGAAAATTGGTGAGCGCATCATCTTGCGCAAAGCATCTCGATAACATACTGTTGGGTGCGAATACAACTTCCTACAACCCATGAACGAGTGTTTGGCCGACAAAAATGACCTGTATAGCCGCGAAACTAAGCTCAAAGTCAGATCACATACAGTTTGAACATCTACTAGAACTTACACTGCTGTTATCGCGAAGACGTCGGTCCTTCTCGCCTCCGTGAACCATCTCAAACAGAGCGACACAATGCCGTTGAACACAGCAATGGCGGCGAGACGATGTACCAGCGAGGGTATGTTGACAAGCGCGATGATCGACATGACCGGGAGGATGGAAGCGATGAAGCAGGTCAACCAAAACGTGATTGCTGAGATCGTGTCGTCACGATAGAAATACATGGGCTTTTCGCTTTCCTTTCCTGGGTATAGCTTCTTGAAGAACAAAAAGACGTGTACCAGTCGATCGGAGAGCATAGTCGTGAACGTGTCGGTGCGCTCTCGTGGGCATAGAGCAATCAAGCCATCGTCTGCGTGAGCAGTGGGATCATTGTATTTACCCCAGATATTTCTGTCCGGACCAACCAACGGCAATTCCATTTCCGGGCTGCGAATGAAGCCCTGGATGTCTTTGAGATCGAAGTAGTCCGGAGGCTCAAGCTTGTAGATCTCTGCCTGATAGTACAATGTCTCGTCTGTGCTGATGAGTATCGCCAATCTTGGTGTCTTTATGAACATGGGTACTCACTGTACTCCCTAAGCTTCTCTCGAATCTTGAGGATGAGACTCAGTTGCGATGCGTCGACACCATCCCTTTCCTCTGCTGAAACTTCAAGCCAGAACCAGTCGCTAGCATACCGGGCTTTCTCCCCTTCATCGCTGGCGTGGTCTGCGACTTCCATATCTCGTAATTCCTCTTCCAAGTATGTTAGTTCCGCCTGCATGTATAGCAAGTTCTTCGCGTTTAGTGCACCAAAGCTACGGAAGATGGCGCTCTCAGGTCGTATGCCCATTGACCGGGCAAGCTTGGGGTAGCCTTTAACATAGCCTTGGAGTAACTTGGATTCTGATGTGTCAGTCATGGTGAAGAGAGAAATGGAGTGGAGGAGGAGGATAATTGATGCGAATGCTGGGGTTCTACAACACCTCTCGCGGCGTCTTTATATACCCCCAAGGGGTCGTTCGCGCAGTTGAATGATTCATAAGGATTGAATCTTTGGTACAATCACACAGGCGAGGTGACATGTAGCTCTAAATCAATACGGAGCGACTGCCGACAGCCACCAAACTCAACCTTGAATTCCCCAAACATCATCGGTGACATGCATCATCAGCCCAGCAAGGGCTTCACACCGGCTTCCAGCTTCTCAACATACGTACCGCAGAGATTGCCATCTCTCCAAACACCGCGAATGTTCAACGTCGCGTCAATGTCTTCAAGTGGGTTTCCTTCAACCAGCAACATGTCGGCGTTGAGTCCTTCCGCCAGACAACCGCGATCGGTGAATTGGAAACGTTTGGCGACCAGGCTCGTGGCCGAGCGCAGAGCCTCCGCAGGTGACATGCCGATCTTGTGTACGAAGACGTTCAATTCTTGGTGCATTGACAGACCGAATGCCGTTCCTACTGCGGGTCCTGCTGAATCACTGCCGCTACAGTCCGTTAGTGACTTGGTCAATAGCATACACACAATTCACTTACCAGAGGATATCAATACCCGCTTCTCTCAGCTTCTTCACGCCCTCGTATGCGTATTCCACTTTACCGTTCTCAGCAGCGAATCCCATGCACTTACACATGTTACCCACGCGATCGTCGTTGATCAGCCCTTTGATCCGGGGGTCATGGGCAAACTGATGCTGCAGCTCTTTGCCCTCAGTTGTCAGACTACCGATTGCAGCAAGTGTAGGATTGACCCATGCGTTATTTTTCTTATACGCATCTATCAGCTCCTGAGTGGGTGGCTGATCGCAGAACGTATGTGTGAGGCCATTAACACCCGCGTTCAGAACATCGAGAGTGTCTCGCAGGGAGAGAGCGTGTGCAACGGTCAGGTAACCTCGCTTCTTAGCTTCCGTGATGATGGTTCTTTGTAGTTCGACTGAGGGATAGCTGAACTCGCGTCCCATGCTGGTCCCACTCTCGTGCATGAGTTTGATGTAGTCTGGTTGCATCTCTTTCTTAGTCCATTCGAGGTATTCCACCACGCTGCTTTGATCCGTCAACTTGGGCCACTTTGCAATAGCCGCCGCTGTCTCCGGGCTCTTGTCGTGGGCCGTAATTACGGGTATCGGCCACCCGCTCTCGATAGTAGCGGCCTGACCTGCCGTCTTGTACGAAGCAGTATCTGGCTCCAAAGTCTGCTTCTTCAGTTTCTGCACGTTCTCAAGCTCGTTGTGCATTTCGCAAACGGTAGTCACGCCAAAGCGCAACGCTTGGGGTAGGGCTTCGGGATCAGCCCTGTCGGCGTGGATGTGGCAGTCGATCAAGCCAGGGAGAAGCGTGTGGCCCGGTTTCGAATATGTCTTTACTGGTTCGAGCGGCGCATCGCTGATGGGTCCGACACTCTTGATCTTGCCATCAAGTACGTGGACATATCCTTCGTCGATAGTCTCTTCACCAGTGAAAATGCGAATGTCACGAAGGAGGAAAGTCGTCATGGTGCTGTATGCTTCGATGGTAGGACTGTATCTTGTCGCAATGCTTTGTTGCTCGACGGTCTTTGCAGGCGTGATAGACGATACTTGCTTGGTGCGAATTTTATGTCGATAGAGGACGCAGGGACGAAACTACATGTCCCTTGTAAATCCCACACATTGCTTTTGTAGAAGATTACATCTAGCTCACTTTGCTGCAGATGGGGGCCAGCGGTACGGGCTCGTTGCATTAGCGTCCGGCTACGACCCGCAAACTACGGATGGAAAGGGCGTCAAGTCCGTGAGGCCAGTATCGTATTGCGAGTATGCTATATCGCAGGAGTGAGATTTTACCGGCATGTCTGGCACTGGACGGACGTGATCGCTTTGTCGTCATTAGTAAGTATCGCGGTCTCCCCATTCGGTCAGCGTCGTGGAGAGCCGAAGCCGATTCACCGCTGCCGACCATGCGCCATGGGGAAGGGGAGGTAACAAGGACATGTGTGAAGTTAGATGGTTTTTCCGGGGGCGTCGCGTTGGTGCGATAATGCCCCTCATTCAGCGATTGTGACATGCATGAGAAACCGCATCACTCCTTCAGATCGATCCACAAATGCCAAGACGCTAGCGACCAGTCGCGTTCATCCTCATCGTCGCTTCCTCCACTCGACACTCCGTCTTCATATCATGACTTCGTGACCTTCACGACAGTTCGGCCGTTATAAACGAAGAGCCGCATTCAAACAATTTCAAACGTACAACGGTTTGGCACTTCTAATCAGTTAGCTGTGAGTATTTATTACCTTCCTCACCCCGTGTACTGTATGAGGTGCATGAAGAATGGAGTACAAGGTCTTCAACTTCTTTTTGAAGTTTAGATGTCACAGTAGCCTGGAGATGTGAACGCATGTACACCACGATCTCAAGGAGACGACGTGGCCATTGCGAGTGACATATTCAAGGTATAAAACCATATCCTAGGCTACTCAACTCTGAATCCTCACGCTCTCACCACATAACAACAGTACGACCACCTGCTACTCTAAGAAACTAAAGCCATGTTTCCCTACAGGCAGTCGGGGTATACCTATAACATTACGTTCTCACAACAAGTACCTTTTCCAGTGTCTTATGTTGTACAGCCAGAGAACCCGCAGCTGGCCCTCGTTCCACAATTGGCAGTTGTTCCACAACAACAAGTAGTCAACCGACGACAGACACGGGTCCACTACACCGGCTACGATAGAACTCTCACTGACTCCCAATTCTGTCGTTGCGCACAACCAGAAACCCACGGCGATGCGTACTCACATCCTGAAGTTAACAACCACGCACAATACGACGGTGTACACATCCTAGATCTCCAAGGCCAGGAGATACAGAGAGAAGAGTATATCCAGCGATGCATGGATATCTTAGGCAAAGACTTCGTCAACTCGAACCACGAACTAAGAACTGTGCGTGCGCAGGTCATGCACCCTGAAAGTATGCGAGTGCAGGATGGCCAGAGGGAGACTGCGAGACGAGCAGCAGAGATTGGAGTTCTCAGGAAAGGGCTACCGCACGATGTCGTTTGGTACGGGCCGGTGAACCCCAAAGGATGCCATATTCACCCGCCACCTGAGCAATGCGAAGAAAGTTTCATCGGGGCAACTGGAAGTTGGAATCCGGTAACTGGGCGCGCGGTGAACGGACTAACAATGACCGAGCGTGAGGCAGATTGGGGGCAGCGTGGGTACGGTCGTCAGGGTTTTAGTCGACGTGGATATCGTTGAAGTGGTTGGCTGTATAGTTAGTTGTAAATTGAATCTGAGACGGATCGTCAGCATATTTAGAATTGCCAGTTGTGCCTGGACTAGCAAGTGCATCCGTATAACGATCGGCTCCTCCAGGGGAAACCGCAACCAATGTTGCGGTCGGCTTTCAAGGAGGCTCTGAGAATACCTGTCATGTCGGTCTGGATCCCCGTGGTAGGCGTGCATTCGGGTCGAACTGGTACTGTATTCCTTCGTTGCGTGCCCATAACCCGAGAACTCAGAGTGATTGACGATGTATTCGTTGTTTCCCAGAACCATGACAGCTCGCGTCACGATGATGGACCCACGTCACGGGCCGAGTGAAGAGCGAACGACTGCGACGCGTAACGAACGGAAGCAAAGCCGCTGTCCGCCAAGCCCCCCACCAACGCGACGGAGCGTGTCTCTAGTTCGTCATGACTCCGGCATCGCAGTCTCCATCACGACTCTCATTTCTCTCCATTCAAGCCCTGTCTGGCTTCGATGCTGCACACTCGTTTTGTAGCTACCAACCATGGTGGTCCTAGTTGATCTGGGAGACGATGAACTGCCCAATTTAGAGACGCCCCATCCTTCTTCCGGCCGGTTCAACGTCTTGCCGCCGCGTCGCTCCCTTGCTGCAGACGACGTGACGACAGCAGCCGAGAGGCCGAACCCAAATATCAATGGATTCAGCGCGGCACTTAGCTGTTATCCGTACGCTCCAGCCATAGCATGGACTTGATTCCGCGCTCTGATGTATGCTAATCATATTAACTATGCAGGATAGTCAGTCAGCTCGCTGCTCAACTCGACCTGAATACGCTCCACGACCTTTCACGAACTTGCAGGCAATTTCGCGCCAATCTGCTCGAATATCGCAGCCAGCTGGTCAAACATACGCTTCATTGCGAGAATGAAGACGATGACCTCAGTGAGAAGCTTGGTTCGCGACTGCAGGAGGGGCGAAATGTCTTGGAGAGCCGCATGACGACTGGTCGCGTTGGCAAATGCGCCCGCGATATGGTGGGCGACTGTCAACGGTGTGGGACAGTCGTATGCCGGGTACGACATTCAGATGCCAACGAAAGGGCCCAGGGCTGACAGGTCTCGCAGAACTGTACGATGAAGCCACCACCAACGCCCACGCTCAGAGCTCGCCATCGCCGGCTATGCCGAACGTGCACCAAAGCGCCCCTCACACTGCTCATGGCTGTGCAGAAGCAGCGCTCCTCGTCGACGTCCCCTTCGCCACCTGGGTCACCAGAGACACATCCAGTGCTTTTCGATGGCGACAACCCGCGAGCCTTTACGGCGCCAGCTTTCGAGCGTACACCCTGCAACTGCGACAACGTAGTCTGGCTCTGCGCGCCATGTGGCAAAGACCTGCGAAACGCCGACACCACATACGTGCGCGGTTGGAGCTGGCGCACCATGTACAGCCACATGCACGGCGGCGTAGGCATCGGCCTCGGCGAGGGTAACGAAGGCGTAGAATGCGGACGAGGCTCTGCATGCCTAGGCGCACACATCGTCGAGCACGAGACATGCGAGCAAAATCTCCTCGACACCATCGAGAAAGAGCGATCACAAACCCCCGAGTCGCCCGAACGCTGGAGGGGTTCTTCCTACCTTACACAGGAGATCGAAGGCATCGGGGGCGTGCTCAAGGTCAAACACAAGAAGCAGGTACGCGTTGGCGAATGCGTTAAGCTGTTTGAGGACGAAAAGAAGAAGTCGATTCAGTATCTTGAGCGAGAGGTCAAAGGCGAGCTGAGGAGTTGGTGCTCTTGGTGTGAGAGGGTTGTGCTGGGTAAGAAGGATAAGGCTGAGATTAATGGGGATAGACCCTCGTCGAGTGGCTCAAGCTCATCGTCTAGTAAACCAGTATTTTCGTATAGATACTGATTTGGACTGTTACATAGTCACGTAGTTTTGCTCAGCGATCATTGATGCATGCACTCATTCATCACGTTCATTGCGAAGGTACTTCACAGCGTTGAACGAGATATGAAATCCGATACCTGAGATACGATAAATCGATGTCGGATGCACCCACTGCGCACATGACGATCCTCGTGTTATGAACCCTACTTCGATGTACCCATCTATTTACACGTGTTTCTGCACATCTGCATCTAGTTCCGTTCTCCCTTCATCTATGGCTCTAGTGTCAGCGCATCCTCAAGGAACTTTACATTCCGTGTTAACTCTTCACACTCTGCCCGAGCATAATCAAGCTCACCCTGCAACCGGTCCCTGGCTCTTTCTGCTTCATCTAGGCTACCACTGTTGCCCTCGTTCTTCCCTTGCTTCTGCTTCTCCAGCTGTTTATACTTTTCCAACAAGTCTTGTAACTGCAACAACAGGCCGCTCTTCTCATTCTGCAACTCTGCCTTCTCTTTCATGAGCTTGTCCGGCGCAGGACGGCGATCTTCGTCCAAGACAGCTGCCAATGTGTCTCGACTCTGTTCGAGTGCCTCACGGAGCTTCGCATCGAGATTCTGATACGCTAGTCTCATACGCTCTTCTTGGTACGCCCCCTTCAGCCTTTTGATATCATGCTCCACCTTCGCTCGCGCATTTACTAGATTGTGAAGGTTGCGCTCTCGTCCAAAGGGTAATCTGGGGCCGTCGAACTGCGCGGCGAGCTGTGCGTACTTGTCGTACTCTGCGTAAAGCTCGGTGTAGTTCTGTAAGAGTTTGGCGTGCGTCCAGCTGGCAAGGGCTTTCTTGGGAGTGAAGCCGGAAGAAGGGTCCATCGTTTTTAGACTTCGCGTTTGGTGTAGCGAGAGTGTTGCGAAGGTGGGTATAAGGGGAGTGTATTGTGATTGTTTGCGCAAAAGCTTGCTTTGACAACATATTCTTGGATGGTCACACGTGGGCTTTCCTTCTGGCGATTTCAAGTCAAGCTGAGAATCAAAGGAAAATGCGAAACCGGATGAGTCAAGAGCGATCTTACTAGAACCAGAGGGGAATCAATATCGAAATGTGAATAGGATATCGCAGTCAGCGGTACCAAGAAGCCCGAACGAGCTCTTCGATACCTTTGCTGCCGATAACGTCAATATTGTGAAAACACTAAGCCTCAGAATGGTATACCACAAACGCCACGCTCTTATCCCAAACGCCGAACCTCCGCATACGTGCTATCACTTCGTGTTCTCCGCCCTCTTCTACCGTCTCGCGCGAACATTGAACGGACTCTCCTCCGCGGCCTTGAAAGAGTCAAACGCGAACAGGCTGACAAAGTACAGCGCTGCAAACCTGACCAGCGTATCGCTCAGTCCGCCATTACCAGTCAGCATCCTTTGTAGGCCGGCGAATGGGCTCTCGCCGACCGGCCGACTGGGTTCTGAAGCGGAACCAAGTGTGCGGCCTTTGGTCGAGAAGACAGCGGAGGCTGCACCGGGGCCAGAGGTATCGTTTGCGGCCTTACGGACGGCGGCTGTGAGGGCTGCGGGGTTGGCGCCGCGGATGGTTTCGACGACGGAGGTGGATTTGATGACGAGGAAGGTTGGCATACTAAAACGGGTCCATGTTAGTATAGTGATTCTTCAATCTAGCATGCAGGCGTGTCTCTCGGGGTTTACATACGCGCTGACGCCGTACTTCTTTGCAACTTCCTGTTGGCTATCCACGTCCACCTTGACGAATTGCATTTTGCCTGGCTTGGTTTCCTTCTCTGCCAAGCCCTGGAAGACTGGCGCGATTGCCTTGCATGGTCCGCACCAATCCGCGTAGAAGTCGACGATGGTGTATTTGGATTGCGACAGGAGTTGGGAGAAGTGCGAAGCGGAGGTTACGGGTATGATTTTGCCGGGCATCGTGGCTATTTTCGTGTGTATAGGCTCTTAGAGCGAGGTTATTCCTGAGTGATTGGCGAGGGAGAAAACGTAGGGCGGTTCGTGAAGTGGAGTTGCGTTGGTAGTGGGTGTTGCGGGGAGGACAGCTTGCGACAAGGATGCGCCACTTGGAGCTCAGGTGGATCGTGCGTCAGGAAACTAGCTGTGACGCGAAGTCAACGCGAACCTTGACAGTCACGACGGTGCCGATGAATTCACGCCTATTAAGATCATTGATTGAAGAGATTTATTAGAAGCCTACTATATCTTGCTCCAGCTATGTATGTGCTCTTTGTATATGTTCAGTCAGCTGTCACCTCACTGTCATTTCCTTCGCCTTCTCAGTCCTCAACACGCTCTCCTACTTGATCGCATGTTCGCTCGGAATACCATCGCGCTATGCAAGACCAGCAGTACCGGTGAACGGAGTGGACCGGCTTCTCGACTTCTTGGGGATGTATTCGAGCTCATCCTCGCTTGCGTCCACCTCTCGGATAGGGCGCTTCTTCGCTCGCGTCTTCTTGGCTTTGGGCTTGGGAACTGCTGCTGCATCTGTAGCTTTGACCGCATTGTCAACTCCTGCTTCCTCCATCTTGACACCGACGGTCGATCCATCCTCAATCGGCTCATGGGCATCAACCACTCCTCCAGCCTTGCTTGTGCTTGGTGCTTTCCCCGTCTCGGACGGCGGCGAGGGCGGATAGGCGACGTTCGGCTGTGCTCCCAGCTCGTGTTCCGGGTCTTCTGCCTTGACTTTGGTCTCTGCGGCCTCTGCGGCGTTGTCTTCTGCCTCTTCTTTGACCTTCTTCTTCTGGGCCTTGGCCTTCTTTGGTTTCGCGCGCGACTCGATATCGGGCGCTGGCGGCTTGACAATCTTGCCAGTCTCAAGTGTCTCGGTCACGACTTCCTCAAACTCTGTAGAAAGGGATTCACGGCCATCGAACATGTCTTCACTGGCTCGGCGAACCACTTCTTCCAAGTCGAACGCTGACATGCACTGCCAGTGCTTGTAGACCATGCTCTCGTGCTCGCCATCGAACGGGACGGATAGACCAAGCCTCAGCTCGCCTTTGGTGATCTTCACGTTCTTAGACAGGCAGTCGCTGCCACGGCAAGCGCATGCACGACCAGCAACGTCGACCTTGTAGAAGCTGACGTCAGTGTACTCTTTGGCGTATCGCTGAGCGTCCTTGGCCAGGTCTTCTCGGATGCCCTTGAAGTTCTTGTCGACCGGCTGACCCTCGAAGGCTAGCCTTACTTGCTCTTGGCTCTCTGGGCTGAGTCGATCGTAGCCGGGTGCCTTTGTTGGGTCGTTGCCGGTAGTCTCCTTCAAGCCCGCGATCTGGTGCTTGGTCGCACAGCCCCTTGTTATGTCAGTATACACATGGTAGGCGCAGGAGGCTCCAGACGAGAGTAAACTTACCAGTGACGCCAGGCCATGTACCATCTAGCCTCTGGCTCAAACAGCGTGTGAGTACCGATACGTAGCTCTCCTTTCGCGATCTTGATTTGGCTGCGCTTGCAGGCGGCCTGACTACAGGTTGCGCGGCCAGTACTCGCCTGCTCTTGAAGTTGTTAGCCAAAAGTTTGAGAAAGGGATGCGGCAGAACATACCAAGACGCCATTTAGGGCCTTCGTCGTCCATGTTTGCGAATTTCGAGAGTTTTGTGGGATTTCGACAGGTGGTTCAGTGAATTGAGGCGACAAGAGGTGAGATGTGAGTGCAGCTGCCCGCGTTTCCAAGGTTGCGAGCAAGCACGTGCGGCTTGGCGGGGAAAGAGGAAGTCGCAGTGGTGCGGGTGATTGCGTCCAGTGATTTTGATGACCTCTTTCTCACTAGGTATACCTCTGTTACCTTCTTTTCACTTCCAGCATGGAGAAAAACTCTGAAAGGGCCTGGTGAGCGATGAGGAGCGCCGAGATAGTTGTGGTCTTGTTTGTGGCCGAAACAACCCAGGAGACAAGGAACAGGAAAGAACGAGATCACAGCGAACCTTCTTCCTCAGTTTCCGACAGCGGAACTACCACAAAACGCTCGCAGTATCGCTCACTGAGTGTTACCATTGTGGTCCATTTTTGACTATTGCACTGCTTTGCGTCCAATGAGCGGTCAGCAGAAAGGTCAGACACGACTTGCTCGCAATGCTTGAATGATGTATCTCAGCAAACTTGGTTCGTGCTGGCAGAAGTCTTAACATGATTCAAGCCTCATGTCTCCCATCCTGAGTTTGATGAAGTTCGATTGGGGATTGCGGGGAACAGCGGGGAAGTCCGTCTTCACTAGTCTACATCCGCTGACTCAGACAAAGCCCCTAGCTATCTCCACAACTCAATAGAACGCGTTAGTGATCAGATGCTTTTCCGAGAACCGTGACTCACTATTCCGCTCCTAGAATCATATAAGTTACGGGATAAGCAAACCAAGCACTTCTGCGTTCCTTCCCTACCTTGGCACCTCAACTTCAACATCCGATCTAAACATGACAGAACCTCAAGCAGACAAGAAGCTTTACGTCAACGCTGAAGATGCACGATCTTTCGTAGCCTCAATCCTAGTTGGCAATGGCGTCGCGCCTGAGAACGCAAGCATCATTGCCAAATGCCTCATAGCAGCCGACCTCCGCGGCGTCGACACCCACGGCATGAACAGAATCCCGTCATACATGGAGCGCGTCCGTCAAGGCGTTTTGAACAGTGCGGCAACACCGACGATCACCCAAGTAACGCCAGTAGTCACTCAAGTCGACGCCAACAATGGCTTCGGCTTTCTTGCTGCAGACGCCGGCATGGCTGCCTGCATCGAGTCCGCAAAGACATATGGTATTGGGATGGCGAGCATAAAGCATTCGAATCACTTTGGTATGAGTGCTTGGGTCGTACAGAAGGCGCTTGATGCCGATATGATGAGTCTGGTGTTTACCAATTCGAGCCCTGCGCTACCGGCTTGGGGTGGGAAGAGTAAGCTGCTAGGTGTCTCGCCGATAGCCTGCGGTGCGCCGGGGAAGGATCAACCGTTTGTGCTGGACATGGCGCCGTCCATTGCGGCCAGAGGAAAGATTTACAAGGCGAAGAGGAGGGGAGAGAAGATACCACTGGACTGGGCACTAGACAAAGACGGAAAGCCTACGGACGACCCGGAAGCAGCACTCGACGGCGGTGTTATGTTACCTATGGGTGGACCCAAAGGCTCGGGTCTGGCTGTCATGATGGATGTCTTTTCCGGCGTACTCTCCGGCTCAGCATTCGCAGGCGACGTTACGAATCCATACGACCCATCAAGACCATCAGACGTCGGCCACTTCCTCGTCGCGGTGAAACCGGATCTCTTCATGAGCTTGGATGACTTCAGGGAGAGGATGCAGATCTTGTATGATAGGGTTACTGGTGCGGAGAAGGCGGCGGGCGTAGAGAGGATCTACTTTCCGGGTGAGCTCGAGCAGTTGCAACAGCAGGAAAGAGAGAAGACAGGCATTCCGTTGGTGCAGGCGGAAGTTGATGCGCTAAATGCGGAGGCAGAGAAGGTCGGTGCTAAGCCTTTAGTTGTCAAGTGAGCGCGAAGACGATGTACAATACATTCTGTTGCACCATATGTTGCACGACATTAAAGAATCGAGTAAATGCAACACCTAGGGCGGGCCGAGGTGGCAGGCGGTTGTTTTATCAGCTAATCACCACGTACAAGAAAAGAGCTAGACAGGTCTGCAGCCTACATCAAGATGATAACATGCAAGATAGGCGACCCAACATCAACGTAGGCTCTAGAGGTTCGATTTTCCTTCGAAGGAGGTGCTACGAAACTCTACCCACGCCGTTGGCATGATCATTTCCTTGTATCATTCTCGCTTCCGATATCACCTTAGTCGTCATATCCGATGTCTCCATCTTCTTCGACTCACGTCCACATACCGACCAGGTGCCTCGTACTAATGATCATGCGACTAGATCAACCTGTCATGATCGTCCATCCATTCGCCAAACCCTTCTTCATCCTTGTCGTCTGGTTCGTCTGAGAATGCGCGTCCGTCCCAAGTCGCACTGTAATCAATGCTAAGAAGACGATTCTGCCGCCTAGTATTTGCGGGAACTGATACGTTTTCTTGCGGATCGCTGAGTCCGGCATCGGGGGATGAGGTAGTAGAAGAGGTGGTGTCGTGAGAGTCGTTGTGGTCTTCGTGGTCGTTGTCCTCTTCCTCATCATTATCCCCCAGGTTCGCATCGCCTTCATACACTATGAATCCCCGCCGACGGGTCATATACTCCAGAGCTGACTCTCCCGTCGTGGCAGGCTGAGTTGCTGTATCTCGGTGAGCTGAGTTCTCTTCTGTCTCGTTTAGGGCATCGCCATCAGCTCGATTTTGCTGGAGTTCCGGCTCAAGATTTCGCTCTTCTTCAGCTTCAGAGTCGTCGCTGGACACAACCCACGTATCATCAGATTCTGAGGACGACACTGATGCCGGTTGAACTGGTCGTACCGGTCTACGCTGCTCGCTGAACTGAATACGGCATTCCGGGCAAAGGTTGCTATTAGAAGACGTCCCGTTGAGCCATTCGAAGATGCAGTTGTAGTGGAACAGATGTCCGCACGAATTGAGCTTCATAGTCCCCCCATCACTGGTACTGTGGGAATGACTTTCCATGCAGACCGTACAGCATTGGTCCTCGGGAACTGCCGTTGTGGTAGCCGCAAGATCAATGAGATCGAGAGGAGGGCCGTAAGGTTCGACGTCGGCGGTATCATCGAAGGCGGGATCCAGGTTCTCGTCTTCCTCATCGTCCGTATCGGCTATGTCAGAATCTTCATCCTCTTCATAGAAGCGATGGCCACGCCCTGTGGACGAAAACCGCGGTCCCCGGCTGCGCAGTATAGCTTCCACGTCCATTTTGTCGGAGAAGTTTGATACATGGAAGTCGCTTGGATATGTATAGAAATTATAGATGTCATCTGGCGCGATGTTCAAAACGCCTTCTGTGTTGATCTCATACTCTTGACACCGCCTTTCGACGATGACAGCCACGTTGGCACCCGGTATCCAGGGTCTAGGATCGGAGTATGGAAGCCTCATTTCTTGCACAGCCCAGAGAAACATGTAGATTTCCAGAACTGGTGGATCGGACTTCCAAGTGCGGCTCAGATCGTATGCCTTCTTCCATATAGCGTCCCAAAGCCTAATGAAGTCGATGTTCTTTAGTCCATTTCGAACATGATATGGCATCAGTGCTTGGGGATCTTGGCATTCCACAGAGTAGATATACTTCGTCCGCGCTTCCTCTAGGCCCATCGCGTACCACTTGTATGCCGGTTGCTGGTTAAACGCACGACCATCGTACTCCAAAGATCTTTTGAAGAGGACGGCAACGTTCAAAGTTTGCTGAATGACCATGTCCAGTATACCCACAATACCGCTAGAGTTACCCGGTTCGCGGGTGAAGACCTCCATTACCGACCACAGTACGCCTCCGGGGCCGAAAAGTTTGTGGGGATGATCGAGAGCAGGAGTCGACTCCGCTAGACCGTAGACCGGCCCGCAGGTTGCGACAGCCGTCAAATTTGCCTCCGCAGTATCTTTCTCCTCCGTCGAGAGCGATTCCTCGGACAGACTGAGGGTGGCGCAGTCAACCAGCCACTTCGGTCCCCTTTCGACTTTGGTGTACCCTCGCCCCAGATCTATCACAACGTCGTATGGATTGCCACCGAAGACATCTTGTCGAACATGTGAGTCTAGCTCGAACCAGATGCGGACTGGGTCTTGCTTGGCCATCAGCTGTGCCACTTGCAGTGATTCCGGGTCGGAATAGCGAAAGGCTTCGGGATCGCGAAGCCACTGCAAAGTTTGAATCCATGGGGCATGGATGTACTGTTGGTACTCTGTTGATGGCAGCGCATCCGGATACTTCTCTTGACATTCGTAAACGCGCTGGAGAACCCTAGCAAATACATCGAGAATTCGATCCGTGTGAGTATAAGAGTGGCGAAATGGCCGAAGCGCTTGGTCGAGTGAGGTCAGCTTGACTGGCAGGTCCTTAGTTATCGTACGCGCATTCGAGGGCGTCATTTCTGACCGTCGGGGCGGTCGAGATCCGGTGTCGTCCATCGCGTGTGTGGGACAAACAGGAAAGACTGACCGCGTTGTGAAATCGTTGGGCAATTACCTGGTGAGCTCGGATCCACTTTGCGGTGTTCCACGTGAGAGACGCGCTCACACTCGTTCAAGGGAAAAAGTGGGCCCCCGCTTCTAACCTATTTGATCCTCCTGCTACTCTTCTGAGAACCTATCAATCATCCGCGCATATGTCGCTGCATCCTCCAAGCCCACCCATCCCTCTCCCTCGGCCTTGCCATCTACGAACGCAAAAAGACTGGTCATGACATCTCTTCCAATAACGGGTACTTCTTCTGCATCTCAGACCAATCCCAGTCTACATTCTCCACCTCATGAGTATCGAAGTAGTGCACCTGTATTACGACCTGCCCGTCTCCTTCCCTCATTTGGAAAACCATATTCGTGGCAGACGTGATGCGAATCTCGCCATACTCGCAGTTTATCTCCCATGCCAGAGCTGGCGTACCGGGAAACGGCTGGCCGCGGCGAAACAGGAAGGATAGTGTTGCATTTGGGGCGGTGAGAGAGGATTGCGCTATAGTGCCATGGACGGCTAGGAAGTCGGGTACGTCCGTGACTACTTCTTCAACCGTTTCCTTGGTTTGAGGGTCTTGAATGCGGATGTTCGGGCGCTGGATCTGTGATTTCGAATGAATGGATTGTGCGTCAAGTCGGCCTACAACTGAAGCTACAATGTCAAGCACTAATAAGAATTAGTAATGACTAGTAAGATAGGAACCGATGCTCACCGTGACCAACGCCTATCACGATAGCATTTCCGCCGATATCCTTTTGGGAGAAATACTTCAGACCAGTAGGCATCGTCTCCCTATCATGTGTGCCCCCAAAAGCGCGCACGTCTGAGCTTAGCACTTTCCCAAGTCTACCATTTCCACTATCCAAGATATCTCTTAGCTTCGCAGCTGGTGGTGTCCATCGTCTTTGCAAACCCACAGCGACTCTTGATCCACTCTTCCTGGCCGCTTCGACGATCTCATCGATTTGCTTCCTGTCGCTGGCGATTGGCCATTCGACATAGACGTCCTTGCCTGCCTTGATGCTGGGAAGGATTGTCTCGTAGTGCTTGTCGACCCGCGTGTTGCATATGACGAGATCGATGTCAGGATCAGCTGCGAGATCTTCTGGCGACCCGTATGCCTTGACGTGGTCGGGGAGTCCATACTTCTGCATGGCGGCCTTTGCAGCCTGAACGCTGCTGTTAGCCAGCGCGGTGATGGCGATCTTGGAGCGTCCAGTCTCGGTGAGCAATGCTTGGAGATGGGCTGCCGAGGCCCACGATGAGTTTCCCGAGGAAGACAGCCCGATGAGCGCAGCACGAACTGGGCGAGCCGCTGATGCCATTTTGCTCGAAAATCGAAACAAGGACGAGGCTTTTTGGAGTAGCAAGTAGAACTGTATTGAAGTTCGACGTCGCCAGGTCCTCGGGGTATTTCTACATCTCATGAGGTGCTTTTGGACTCACGTTTCGCTTTGTAATGCAGCGCATTTATAATCTTGCATGCAGCAAGCGCTGATGGTAGGAAAGAACGCCTGATGTCTGAAATGTCAGCAAATGCGTGTAAACGACATACAGCAACAAGTAAGCCGTGCATGACATCATTGGCAATCAGTCGCAGGCAGTGCACTCATGTTAGGGCTCCAATGTCGCGTCTCTGGTTATCCTCCGTTGGATGTGCATCGCTACAGGCTTGGGACGAAGACGAGGATCGTGGACGAAATGGTTCGCAAGCAGATGCGATGTGTGGAGGACGTAGCGTGAGAGACACGAACGCGATGAACTCATAGCTAGACGCGTTCTAGGACCAGACGCGTCTTAGAAGATGGGCTGACGCTGAAAGAGGACTAGTCTCCGGACTAGCGTCGAGCACTCCGCAGAGGCGCACAGCGTCAGCAACCACGCATCCTGCTCCAAATATATGTTCGGATCTTTATCCCCCCAGTACTTGTATGACAGATATTGACTTGGGATCGATCCATCCCGTCACGGTAAAGTCCGTTACCTGCGCCTGGACGTCATCGCTTTCATGAGGTCTAGTGTGCCACACTGGGGTCGTGAGAAGGAGCCAGGCGTACGCCTTTCGATGTCGAGAGATGGGAATCGATTAGCAGCTAAGGAATACTGCCCGTTTGCTATCTCATAGTAGCGATGACTTGGCGAGTGAGTCAACATTGGAAGCGAGAGCTCATGGTCAGGTGCCTTCGCGTGCAGCAGCATCATGCTGCACTTGGCGTATACCGTGGAGCAGTAGGACATCGTTCCCTATATGAGTTGCCGCTGCACACAATCTAATGACCCTTCTTACTATGGCAACTGCATTACTTGCGTGAGTACAGCACTATCTGGGCACCCGTATGCTCACGGGTGTTCTTTCCACCGCTGCTATCCCACGTTGTCTTGGCAAACAAACCCAGCTTCATCACCTCGCCCAACTCCTGTAACCAACGACGCAGGAATACCACCGCCTCAAAGCGTCCAACGGTAGGGTCTCGAGCAACATGGCGGAACATGGCAACTCACCTCCGATCACTATTGCATCAATGCGCGCAATCCGAGAAAAGAAACGACAGCTAGCAGTTCAGCCAGCCCCAGGTCCGTTTAAGCTAACACATCGATCCCATGACGCTCAACCGCCGATAAAGGAAGAGATTGGAGAAGCCGTGGGCGATGCTCTGCATACACATCCTGGGCTGGAATGGGTTCCAGTCATCAAACAAGAAGTGGCTCCTCTCGCCAACCCCTACGAACCTACCCATAGCCTACTTGAGAGACGCCCGGTCATCAAGCAAGAAGACGAGGAAGAAGACGGAAATACTGCGGAAGTTGGACATGACATCGAACGCCCTACGCCCTACGATAGACTTGTCTCCGCTTATGACAAACCGGAAAACAGCGATATCAGAAGCATCCTCGCCGCGTTGCACCGCATAAGCGAGCCGTCGCACCTGTCTAGAACGCAAGCGAAGAAATTCCGCCAGAAGAAGCAGCGAGGCTTAGATCTTCTCAAAGAAGTCATGGCCCAAGGGCGGACTGAGCCAGGACTGCCACGGACATCTTATCTCACAACGAGCGCAGCGGAGAATGCCGTTAAAGCGGAAGCTGAAGTCGTCGAAGAGCTTTGCAGATCATCTGGCACGGTGACACCCGCAGAGCATGCTCGCTCGTTGCTCCTTCACCCAGAAGACATAACAATGGCAGACGTGCAAGCACTCGGTCAACATGTCAAGCACATAAACAAAGCGCAGATGAAAGTATCAAAACTTCTTGAAATTGGTGAAACGAGACAAGCAGGGACAAAGATGCACAGATGGCTTGAAAACGGAGTGCAGAAGCATCTTCAGATGCTACACGCTCAAGCACATCAGTTCGGACCTGACCGCCCGCTTGAGAGCAAGCCGGACCAAGAGGCTTCTGGATCTGCATTGCGCGGGGTTGTGCTCGGTAAACGCTCGGCGACACCGTCTCAACCATTCCACAATCGAGGCTATACTGAGAGGTTTCCGCCCGAACCGAACTCTGAGATTGGGAACAGTGTTGCTGAAGATGCGGATCCGGCCCTAATCGCGATGTGGAAGATCGTACCCGAGCTCCAGAAGGATGCTATGCTGGACATCGAGACACAGATTGTCTTTCCAACCGTCGCCGAATACTTGAATGTCGTCAAGCGACGCAAACTGGGCACATTTGCGACGGAGCATGATACGAGCATCAATAGCCAACCACAGCAGTCCCATGACGACACTGTTTCTCGGGTACTTCCCGGCCCTAGCGCCTCATCTTCGTCTCTCACGAACCTCCGTATCGAAGGATTCTTGATGGGGATCAGAAACGGTGTCATGACTGAAGAGAAAGTGCCGAGCCAATTCTCGATCAACACCAAGACGGAGAATTGCGACACCGCCGTCCACGGTTCTGTGCGTACCGACGCCTATGCCACCATCTTCAAAGCCCTCAGCGCCCTGCTCTTACTTGACCGTGATATGACCAAGGTGGAAGAAAGCAAGGCGAATGGTTCAAAAGGCAGATGGACGTGCTTGTTCAAGAAAGCGATGAACGAGATGTGCAAATGGCCGGCTGAAGGTGAAGCAGGACAGTACGCATGCGACTGGTGTATGAGACGTCGCCGTCCTTGCGTCATCGCCATCAAGGGTGTCTTCTCAGTTGCCCCGTTGGCTCCTAGTTTGAGGATGGGTCGTGGGCTGGGTGACAGGGAGTACTGCGTGTTGCCCGAAGGGGCTGTGTACGTGAAGCCAAAGTTCTTCTTGTAAAGCTTTCGGCCGCGAAACAAACTTGTGGGGTTTGAAAAGGCTGCTTGCTAAGGAGACATGAGCTGGGCGTCGAGCAGCAGTGGTGTATGTTAGTTTCGTGTACCAAGTATCCCGAGGTCTAGATATAGATCATGTTGCAGTCTTGACTGATAATACGTAGCGGAATCCAATATGAGTCGAACGTCCTTGTCAGAGCATCTTGGTATCAGTCTAGAAGCATAGTGATGTGTAATGGTTGCCAAGGATTCCGATCCGAGAGTAGCTTGTCAAGTAAATCGATTCGGTCGACCTTGTAATGATGCACGGCGAGGTACAAAGGCCGGCGGACGAACAAATGGAAGATGGGGCTGCGGGAGGTGTGCGCTAGCACTAGTCGGTACTAGAGCGAGCCCCGCTCCTGAACCAACCGCATGGGACCGAGGCACAGTTGCGCGCCTGTGAAACCACGCCGTCAAGACGCCCTGCACCTCAACCTTGGACCTTATAGCCCGCCATTGGCGTCTCCCTAGCTCCTGAACCAACCTCGACGCCCCAGGCCTATCCAAGACTTTCTCCATTGAACCTTCAGGACGACCATCGCAGCTCAAAATGGCGGAAATAGCACCTTTCGAGCACACGCCCATGGACGACATCGCGCCCACATGCGCCAGAGTCCGCGCCAGCTTCCTCTCCCACAAGACTAAGCCCCTCGAATACCGCATCCAGCAGCTGCGCAAGCTCTACTGGGGCTTCAAGGACAATGAGGAGCTTATCAAGGAGGCGTGCAAGCGCGATCTGGGCAAGCCGTCGTTCGAGACATACCTGACGGAGATCTCGTGGTGCATGAACGACTGCATCTGGATGGCCAACAACGTTCCGCGCTTTGCCAAGGACGAGAAGGCGACAGATATCCCCTGGACCAACATGCCGCTTCGCCCGCGCATCAAGAAAGACCCATTGGGCACTGCGCTGATCATTGGGTATGTCGCGTGTGCATGTTGAGAGATACTAGCTGACGAGACCAGAGCCTACAACTTCCCCATCCAACTCACCCTTGGCCCTCTCATCGGTGCCATCGCCGCAGGATGCACTGCCGTCGTCAAGCCCTCCGAATCCGCCCCCAATGCTGCCGTCGCTATCGAGAAGATCATGCGCGACTCGCTCGACCCCGAATGCTACACGTGCATCCAGGGTGCCATCCCCGAGACCACCGCCCTACTTGATCAGAAGTGGGACAAGATCTTCTACACTGGCGGAGAGATGGTCGCCAAGATCATCGCGAAGAAGGCAGCCGAGACCCTGACACCCTTGACACTGGAGCTGGGAGGCAGGAACCCTGCTATCGTCACAAAGCATGCAGACATGAAGCTTGCTGCAAGGAGACTATTATGGGCAAAGACACTCAACGCCGGTCAGGTTTGTCTCAGTCACAACTGCACTTTCATCGATCGTGAGATGGTACCAGCATTCATCGAAGAGATGAAGAAGCAGCTCAAAGAGTTCTACCCAGACGGTGCTCAAAAGTCGCCCGACTACGGTCGCATAGTCAACGAGCGCCAGTTTCAGCGTATGAAGAAGATGATCGACGACAGCAACGGCAAGATCGTCCTCGGGGGCACAATGGACGAATCCGACCTCTTCATCGAACCCACCGTCGTCCAAATCAACGATATGAACGACAGCATGGTTACTAGCGAATCCTTCGGTCCCCTCCTTCCCATCCTCCCTGTCGCCAACCTTGATGAAGCCATCAAGATCGCAAACGAGCTCCACGACACACCACTCGGCACCTACGCCTTCGGCAACAAGGCCGAGCTCGAACAAATCATGAAACAAACACGCAGTGGCGGTGCCTCCCTCAACGACGGCTTCTTCCACGGCTCTATCCCCACCATGCCCTTCGGCGGTGTCGGAACAAGTGGCCAGGGCGCATACAGGGGCAAAGCCAGTTTCGACACCTTCACACACCGCAGAAGTGTTACCACAACACCAGCATGGATCGAGGGTCTCATGGACGTCAGATACCCACCATACACCCCCGCCAAGCAGAAGAAGTTCATTGGCATGAATGACATCAAGCCCAACTTCGATCGCGAGGGCAGGGCTTTTGGATGGGGTTCATGGTTTATGGGACTGCTGGGCGTCAAGAGTTTGGCGGCTATTGTTGGTAAGTGATCTACAAATGTGGTGGCAAGCGTGTTCATCAAGCTAACAAGTACAGCGGCGGTTGCTATCAAGCTATATCTGCAGCGGAGGTCGAAGTTGTAGAGGATGAGTAATGGCAGGAGGATGGAAGTAGATGTGTGACGTCTAGCAGTATACCTTTGCGATATCCATGCATTCTTCATCACTTTTAGATGACATTTTACATTTCGACACATGCAACCATCTACATGCTAAACTGTTCTCGCGTTCTCGTCAAACCAACGAGATGCAGTCTCACTACCAGAACTGTCTCTGAGTGTCTAGAAACCACTGAACACCATCTAAGACATCTGTTCCCCCATTGTCTCCAAATCACCAGACACCACCAGTCCAACCAGCAAACCATGAGTCTCACATCCACTAACAAACTTGTCAAGCTGAACATGATATATCACGCAAGTCTATACACATTACTGAACACAGCAGCAAGAACAGCATCAGTCACAGAAAGAACACACGCGCATCACACGACCATGACACCCTTCTTCCTCACCACCAAATCCGCCCACTCCACCCGCCGCTCCCTCTCCACCCACGAAAACATCTCCACCACGCCTTCCTACGCAACAAAACCCTACCTCACCCGCCTCACCGAGCCCTCACGCTACACGTCCTACAAGTCTGAAACCCACGGCGAACGCCTCCCGTCTTGGTTCACAGCCCGATCTGCCCGCTATGCATACACACCCAGTCACTCCGCAGAAGTGGCGCACAGGAGTCTTGCTTACGAAATCGAGCGTAGTAAAGTGTATGGGTATGGGTATAGTGAGTATCAGCCGGCGGCGTACAAGGAGGTGTGTGCCCGGGGGATTAGGACTAGGGAGAGGGAGGCGGAGTATGCGGCTTTTTTGAGGGGGGAGAGGAAGGAGAGGGAGAGGGAGAGGGAGAAGGAGAAGGAAGAGAAGGTGCGTGTACAGCGTAGAGGAGATGAATTACTATATGTGCGAGATAAAGGGAGGGTGGGTGAGAGTGGGGGGTGGAGGCGGACGGAGAGGGAGGTTGAGTGGGTTAGGGGGCGGTGGGCGTGAGATTGAAGGAGTGGTTGTAGTCGCTTAGTTCTTTTCCACGTCTGTTAAATCACCGAATCGAGTAGTATCTTCATAAGCGTATAAGTGTATAAGCGTATGTAGTGTCGTTGGTATCCCGCATCGAGACATATTTGAGCACTATTTCCACGTGGAATGCGTGTTGGTGGGGGAGATGGTGGTGGCCTAAATGCACGTAAGCCCATGCATTCCTGCAGGATTCAGCACACAATGTACCGCTTAGGTGGGTAAGAGGAGGAAAGGATATCGCCCTGCGCTTCCTGCGATGGTCTTTCGCGGTAAAAAGGTGCAGGGGTGGGTCGCTAGATAAGGCTGATATAATATTGCGAGGCAGATGAATCAGATTGTGAAAACAGAAAAGCTCTATTGCAAGATTCTAATGTACAAGTCACCCAAGACCGCTGATTGATGCAAAAGAACAGCACTTTGGTATAAAACGAGACATAAGAATGCAATTGCGAAAGATGTTCGTACAGGAAGCGTAAATGACATGACATGACAGACCGAGACGTAAACGTAATCATAGAGAATACATCGCGTACGACGCAGTCTATACCGCAGAAAGCAAGCCATGCAGCGTGAAAGCGTCAAAAGAACAAGATAGCTAAACAGGGGTATCCGCCGTAAACAAAAGAAGAAACCGTATCCTTCCTGCCCGTACAAGCCGAAATGCTGCGCCGGAATGAAGACAAAAGAAGAGAAACAAGAAGAGGGGGAATATCGTAACGTGACGGAAGCGTATGCAAAGGTGAGAAAAGACCAAGATGCAAAGGTGCAAGCCAAGGAGAAAGAAGAAGGGGGGGGGAGAAGAAAGCTGTTGCTTCAGATCCCCCAATCCCCCCACCCTTTCTTCAAAATCGTCTCAATGGATCCCACAACACCCTCCAACAGCTCACCCAGCCCCAAACTGGATGCATCCGCAGCAGCACCACTTTGATCTTCGAGTGGTACGCCACGGAGACGAAGCTTAACCCACAGTAGCAGGCTGATACAACCAGTCTGGCGGCGCGCATGGTCGGCAAGATGTTGAGGTGTGGAAGCCGTAGTATCGGACATGGCGAGGGTATCTGTGAGGAAAGAGATCGTGTTTATGATGATTTGCGCGTGGGAGAGGAGTGGGTTTTCGGGTGTGGCGGAGATGATGGGGGAGTGGGGTTGGCTGGTGGAGGTGGAGGTGGAAGAGGAGGTTGGTGGTGCTGAGGCCCATGTCGTAGGGGAGAATATTGGTGGTGATTCGGAGTTGCTTGGTCGTCTATTTTGTTGTCTGGCCTTTTGATGGGCGGCTTTGGTGCGGGTGGTTGCTGCGACGGTGATGGCCCAAAGCACGAGAGCGGCGAAGAAGATGGACATGTCTGTGCCCATTTCTAGGGGGATGCGATCTCTTTGTTCCGAGACGGCTTGTTGGAGTATGTCGATGGAGAGTTTGAGTGCCTCTCTGATGGGCGCGCCTTCGGTCTCAGACGTGGACCATAGCTGTGCGATCCATGTGCGGAGCGTGGTCTTCAACACTGCGAAAGCTTGAGCGGTAGCGACTTTCTCTGAGAAGATCCATGACTCGCATGCGACGGCCAGCAAGGCGCGAATGGGCGTTACTTGTACTAGCTTTGCTACGGATAGCATGCGCTTAGTGGCAGGTGCGTCGTCGAGCAGATGTTCGAGGCTTGAGGTCGTCGATGAGGACATGTATGGTGTTGAGGTCTTGTGGCGACTGTAGTGCACGGCGAGGATGACAGATGATTGGAATGTATCGAGAGGCCTTGGTAGGGACGTGGAAGTAACCTCGTCGACGTATGATGGCGTGTAAGGGTACTGCTGAGCAGCTGCAGCCCACTCGATGGGGCTCGCCGCATCCCAGAGAGAACCATGCGCTGGGAAGGGAATGTCGAAGCGGCTGTCGTGAATGAGAGATTGCAAAGCTTCGCGGGCGAGTAGAAGAGGCTGCTGCGACTCAAGGATGTAGCAAGACAGGAACAAGTGTTGCCAGGTAGCTAGCTCGACCCAGCTGGTCCAGTGCTCCGGTGTGACCTGCTCGAGTTGAGCAAGGCTCGCTAATAGCTCTGCGGCTTTCGAAGTCGCGCTCCTGCAATCTTCAACCGCCTGGTGTTGTTAGCCGACCGTCGCTGCCTGCAATGACGCTCGACGTACCTTGTGGTATACCTTGTCGAAGCGTGACGACAAGACCTTGGCTGCCCGACGAGCGCGGTACTGAGACAGCACCTCAATGAGAAACATCGCCTGGAAATCGCATAACCGGTCCGGTTCCGTCGAACCCTTGAGATCCCTCTGCTATGAGTCAGTTGATGATCGTAAGCCCAAGCATCTAACCTACCCATTCAAGCAATTTCAAGCATCGGTCGTGGAGGTCTCGGCCCTTTTTCTTGTCGCTCGAATCGGCCGAGTACTGGCTGCCGATAGCGATCATGGCCGCGCGCAGCATCGGTGACGGGTTCATAGAGGTAGGTCGATGGACAATGGGGAAAGTGGGATGAAAGAGCCTCCAGAAATAGTCAAGATATTGCTCAAACGGTTGGGTGTGTGCGATCGAAGCCATACCATATTGTTCTTCTCCAAAGAGCATCACCCCCTCCTCTTCGTCCCTCTGGACCAGTGTTCTAGGACCGAAGTGTCCGTACCCGGTCATCGCATCCATGCTTGTCGGTATCGACATGTTCGTCATAGGGAAGGAGCATGCGTTCATGTAGGCGAGGTTAGGGGCTGTTGATCCCTTGTCGTTTGAACCCCACGTGTATGCCATCGTTGAGGTGGTCGAGGCCGGCGATCGTGATGGGTATCCCCAGGATGGGTCCATCATGGATGCGTTCGAGGGCGTGCGCGCTCGATAGGACGGGTTGCTAAACACGGAGAAGTCGGTCGATGCGATCGGCGATGCGTACCCACTCGAAGAGGAGTACCCGGGGGTGGGACTGTATGGCTCGTGCCATAGAGCCGGTGTCATAGCTTCCATTGCCACCGACATCGATCCAGACTGGCGGTTGATATGCGAGCGATGATGTTTTGGTTGGCTAAAAGAGCATTAGCAGCCATACAAACGGAAGATAAGAGACGAATTGAGAGAAGAAAATAAGTGCTCGATGATGTATAATGAAACTCACTTGGGGCTGGACGTGATTTGAGGAGAAGAACGAGGAATGAGACTGGGATTTAACGAAAGACGCTGAGGCGTTCTGGGAGTACGAAACGAGGCGTGATTGTACCTTGTAAATGGCGCCGTCTCCTGCACGGGAGATACGGTCTCGTAGAAGGATGTGCTTGCGGAGTTGGTTGTCATCTCCATCATAGGCTGCTCGAGAGCGGGCAAAGACATGGATGTGGGCTCTGGTGAGCCTTCTGGACTTTGCTCAGGAGAGTCTCTTGCAGGCTCGTTGCTGTTGGAAGTCAGTATGGCTGTTGTGACCACTCTCGGTTTCGCGTACTGCCGCTCTTGATGTCTTTGGAGAAGATCAACACGGACGAAGGTCTTGCCGCATCCAGGGACTTGGCAGATAAGCGCATCTTCTTGGGCGTGGTTTTTCTGGTGTCGCCTGTGTATACAGTTAGTGGTATTCCGGCTTTTCGTGGAAGCCGTCTGACCTTAGATGCTCCGCGCGGGTGTAAGACTGATGGTACGTCAGCGAGGTTTCCTGCAGAAGTGGTTGAGATGCATAGCGTTACGTAGATAAGTCTACGTGTGGTGAGATGCAATACCACAGTGGCGGCCCATGCACAGCTAGTCACAAACATCGTAGGGCTGAAAGAGGGATAGAATCGAAATGACTTACTCTTCCACAGTTCTCGCAGTTGTGGACTTTAAGTCCCTTTTTTGCTTTGCTGATACGCCCAGTCCGGGTGTAATGGATGTTGTTATGAGATGACATGTTGGTAGGGCTCAAGCCTGCCTGTTCTTCAGAGCGGGAGGAACCGGTGTGGGGGCCGGACGGCGCTTGTTTGGTGGTTCCAGGACGACGGCGAGGGCTGGCAGCCTTGGATGGTTTGGGTAGATCGTTAGATGACTGTGCT